GAAATTATCAAAAATGTATGTCAAGGTTTTGGAAATTCAAAAGTTAACACTGGAGAAATTAAAAACAATCAGGCAAATGAAAGTAACTCTTCATATTCTAATAACATGATATTTAATTCGTTGGAAACTTTCAACTATGTGCCAGACGAAGGAAAAACGTTTGAAGCGTAAACTTTAAACGATATGAAGATATTTTCTACACAGACTGTGAAAACTGGTCGAATTCAAGAAAAGTCAGTCTATTACTAAAGAAAGCTAGGTACAGCGGAACATAGCAAATTTGTAGATTTTATTCTACCGAGAAGAACAAATGAATTGGAATTCTCGGAAACAGTGAAATTGCTAAAAGGAGTTGAGGAGCAAAATGTCGAATTGGCATAAGCGATGGTTATGAATAAATGTCGCTAAATCCGACGATCAGGATTTTTTAACATATGCATTTATAGTGAATAGACATTGTGACAATTTCAGATTTAATTACGGTTGAAGAATTCAAGTGTTTAATTTTTGCTCAAGGACTGGTATTTTGTAAAAGTGCCGAAATAAGACGTAGAGTTTTGTCTAAACTCGAATCTGAACAAACCTTACCTGCAATTTTTAGCAGAAAAGTGTCAGCGGGCCGTAAGTTTAAAGAAAGAGTCTCCTTTGGTTTGAAGAAGCTGGTATTGCTTATATTAAAAAATTGAAAAAACAGTCAAATTACCCATCAGAAAAAAATTGGAGTAAAAATTCGGCGTATTTTAAAAATAGACAAAAAAAAATTAAATGAAAAGAATGAGGAGAAAAAAAATGGTTCCACCATTTAATTGTAGACGGTGCATTTGAAAGACACTGGGAGGTAAATTGCCCATATAGAAATAAAAAAATGTTTCGTGTGCCACAAGAATGGTCACAAAGGGTCGTGTTGTAAAAAACGAAAAAGTCAATAGCCGAATTAGACAAACAAATTCAAATATCAAATCAGATAGAGATTTGAGGAAGTATGTGACGACTGAAATATTTAAAAAAGAATATCAAATTTCAACTCGATTCGGGTTCAGATTTAACAATAATGAACTATAAAACATGGAAAATTTTAAAAAGGCCTACAATAATGAAGTCAACGAAACGCGCTCGAACAGTAACTGGAAAGGAAATTAAATTCGAAGGCGAGGTTGTACTTCCCATGAAATTGAACAGGATAGTTAAAAAATAAAAGTTTTCATTCTGAAAAATGGAGAAAACTTGATGGGTACAGATTTTATTGAAACATTCGAATTTGGGATAAAATGTTTAAACTCTTTCTGCTGAAAAGTAGAAAGTAATACGCAAACAAAGACAGGACATTAAAGAGGAATTAAAGAAAAAGTTTCCGGAAACCTTCACACCTGGTCTTGGAAGATGTAACAAGTTTGAAGCCAAATTCGAATTAAAGAAAAATACTATGCCAATTTTTTAAAAGAAACGTAATGTTTTTCGCAAGTGTAGAGAAAATTAACGAAGAACTTGATAAGTTGGAAAAAAAAATTATTTCGAAAGTAGAATCTAATTCATGGGCTGCGCCGATTGTGTGCAAAAAAAAAGAAATCAAACCAAGTCAGAGTCTGCGTTGATTTTTCGACAGGGTTGAACTCGGTAATTAGGACTACCATTACCCGTTACCGAGTCCGGAGGAGATTTTTAACAAGCTAAATGGTGGAGTTATATTTTCAAAAATTGACTTATCAGATGCCTATCTCCAAATTCCCGTCGAAGAGGAATGTTCGAAGTTACTAAGGGATAAACACGCATAGAGGGTTATTCAAGTACAACAGGCTTCCTTTTGGTATTAAAGTGGCACCAGCCATTTTTCAACAAGCTATGGACGTCATGTTGAATGATTTAGACTTTGCGTGCGCTTACTTAGACGACATCATAGTAAGGAGCGAATCGGTCGACGAACATCGAGAGCATCTCAATCAAGTATTTAAAAGATTCAGGACTTTGGATTTAAAGTCAAAAAGTCAAAGTGTGAATTTGGTTTGGAGGAAATTAAGTATTTAGGGTCACATAATCAACAAAAATGGCAGATGTCCAGATCCAGAAAGGTCCATTGCGATTAGAGACATGCCGACGCCCACTAATGTGGCGATGCTAAAGTTTTTATAGGGCTTGCAAATTATTATCAAGCGTTCATTAAAGGAATGTACAATTTAAGAGCTCCGTTGAATGAACTGCTAAAAAAAAAGACAAGGCATGGGAATGGACGGTAGAATGTCAGAAAGCCTTTGATGAAATAAAAAAATGCTTACGTCCGACCTCTTTTTAACCCATTACAATCCAAAACTGGATATTGTAGTGGCAAATGACGCTAGTTCATACGGGATAGGAGCGTGTATTCAACACATAATGCCAGATGGTTCTAGAAAACCAATTGCACATGCTTGGAACTTTGCTCCCAGGAGAAAGATTTTACTCTCAGATGAAAAAAGAGGCACTGAGTATCATTTTGCCATAACAAAAATTTCATAGATACATCCACGGCAGACATTTTATCCTTGAAACGGATCATAAACCACTGATCACTATTTTTGGTTCAAAGAAAGGGTTACCCGTTTATACAGCAAATCGTCTGTTAAGATGGGGAACCATTCTTCTCAATTATGATTTTCACATAAAGCACCTATCATCCAAAAAGATAATTCATGCGGATAGTTTATCAAGACTCGTACCGAGTCAAGAAGAAAGATTCGAAGAATCAATTATTGCAAATATCAGAGCAGATTATGAGGTGAAAAGCATGGTAAACAACATTGTAAGAGAGCTACCGGTTACGCTAAATGAAATAAAAAGAAGCTGAAAGCGATGATTTCATTTTAGAAATTAAAAAGCAAAATGGTAGCAAATGACCAAAAGTGCAGGAGATTTATTCAATAGGTGACGGAGTTTTATTATATGGTGAGATTTTAGTAATACCAAAAAAAGTTGCAAAAAAAATACTCGGGACTTTCATATGGGTCACCGGGGATTAATAGAACAAAAAGCTTAATGCGAAGCTTTGTGTATTGGAAAGGAATGGATGTGGATATCAAAACATGGTTCATCGATGTAAAGGGTGTGCGTTAGCAGCTAAGGCACCACCTATAGTATACAAACCATGGCCCAAGACGGATCATCCGTGGACAAGATTACACATTGATTTCGCTGGTCCAGTAGAAGATTTTTACTACTTAATAGTGGTAGATAGTTTTACAAAATGGCCGGAAGTACTACGCTCTAAAAAGCCTACGTCCAATACCACAACAATTTTTTTGCATGAACTATTTGCACGGTTCGGTGTGCCAGAGTGTATTGTGAGTGACAATGGTACACAATTCACTTCTGAAGAATTTAAGGAATTTTGTGAGTTATATCAAATTAACCACATAACGATAATCCGTATCATCCGAGGTCTAATGGACTCGCAGAAAGATTTGTCGATACATTAAAGCGCGCTCTGAAGAAAGCCTCAGGAATTCCAACGGAAAAAGGCGCTTCAGCAATTCTTACAAATATACAGAATCACGCCAAACCAGAGAACACACTCAAACATGGCACCAGCTGAACTAATGTTCGCTAAGAAAGTTAAGTCAGTGTTTGACAAGCTTTTTTGCCAGGAAAAATAGAGTAAAAAATACCATGTATACAGCGAGAAAAAGATACACTCCCGGAAAGAAGGTGTTTTTTCAAGTGCTATAAAAAACAACGTTGAGTTCTGGGAATGAGGCATAGTGGACAAGAGAATCGGTGACCTGATTTACATAATTAAAGGCCGAAGAATACTCATAAAAGGCACCAAAATCAAATTAAAAAAAAGATTACGGTATAGAGCAAGAAGAGTGTATACCGGATGAGGACGAAGATCCCATTGATATAATGTATAATATGTTTCAGGTAGAACCTCCACAGAATACACCTGAACCAAGAAGGTAAATAGGAAACGGAAGTTCACGGACCCAATGGACGTGAATCCAAAACGAAAAAATATTAAAATTAGGCAAATGGATCTACAAAGAAATAGCCATAATCATCAACCCATATAGGAAGCCAATTTGAAATCCAAAAGGGATTCCAAGGCTTGGGAGGAGGGTGTTGTAGATACGATCCATCTAATTTACATAGTGGAGTACCGACCGATATAAATATGGTTAGATAGATAGATAGACGGGAGAGATAGATAGATGAATAGATATCATTGAATCGACCTGAAACTCTGGACAGATTAAGTCAACCCATTCTTGAAATTAAAAGAACAGATGAAAGATAACTCATAAAAAAATTAAAAGACTTAGATAGTTTAGATACATTTGAATTTAAAGACAGATTGATAGATTGATAGATGCTTAGAAAGATTCAACAGATAGATTGAATTAAAATAGATAGATAGATAGATAAATGAATAGATAGATTCATTGAATTAAAAACTCAGATAGATAGATAGATAGATAGATTCATTGCCAAAAAAGATTTACTTTAATAAAAAGATAGATAGATTCATTGAACTAAAAAGATGAAAGTTAGATAGATAAATAGATTCATTGAATTGAATTAAAACAATCTGAGATTGTGATAGATAGATAGATGAAATTAAATAGATAAAAAGATAGATTAATCATTGAATTAAAAGACTATAGATAGATTCATTGAATTAGCCAAAAATTAAATTTAGGATCATTAAAAACAAAAATAGATAGATAGATTCATTGAATTAAAAGACTCGGATAGAATAGATAAATTCATTGAATTGAAAGTTAAAAAAGATTAAAAAAGATAAAGATAGATAGATTCATTGAATTAAAAACAATCTGAGATGATAATAGATAAACAGATGAATTAAATTAAAATCGGATTTAGATAATCATAGAATTAAAACAATCTGAGATTGATGATAGATAGATAATAAACAGATGAAAGTTAAACTACCAAAAATTAAATTTAGATAGATAGAATAAAAACAATAGATATTGAATTAAAAGCAACAATAGAAGATAGATGAAATTAAACTAAAGAAATACATAGATAGATAGAATCATTGAATTAAAAGAAAAAGATAGATAGAAACAGATGAAATTAAAGCCAAAATAAATAGATAAGATAGAATTAAAAGATTCATTGAATAATAGATGAAAGTTAAAAAAATAAATTACTTTTAATTGAATTAAAAACAATCTGAGATAGATAGATAATAAACAGATAAATTAAATAGATAGATTAAATTACTTTAATCATTGAAAAAAACAATTGGATAGATAGATGAAAGATAGATAGATAGATATATTAATCATTGAATTAAAACAATCTCGGATAGATAAGAGCAACAATAAAAGATAAATAGATAGATAGATAAAGACTTTAAGATAGAATTAGATTGAGTATTGTGATAATTAAAATAAACAGATGAAAGTTAAATAGATTCAATTGAATTAATTAAAAGAATTAAATCAATAGATAGATAGATAGAACAATTGAAAGTTAAAGACCAAAAATTAAAACTTTAATCATTGAATAGAAAACAATCTGAGATAGATAATAGCAACAATAAACAGATGAAAAAAAATAGCCAAAAAATAGATACTTTAATCATTGAATTAAAAACAAAGTATTGGATAATAGATAAACAGATGAAATTGAATTAAAAAATTCGGAAATTTAGATAATCATTGAATTAAAAAACAATCTGGATAGATAGATAGCAACAATAAACAGATGAAATACCAAAAAAATTAAATACTTTAATCATAGAATTAAAAATAGATTGATTGAATTAAAAAAACAGATAAATTAGATTGATACTTTAAATTGAATTAAAACAAAGATTCATTGAATTAATCAGACGTTAAACTCAAAAAAGAATTTCTTTAGATTAGATGAAAAGATAGATTCATTGAATTAAAACAGATGATAGATAAATAGCCAAAAATTAAATTGAATTAAATCATTGAATTAAAATAGATAGATTAGATAATAAGAATAAACAGATGAAATTGAATGGAAAGATTAGAATTAAAAACAATAGATAGATAATAAACAGATGAAAATAATGAAATTAAAAATAAACAAGATGAGATAGATTCATTGAATTAAAAGTTAAACTAGGAAAGATAAATAGATTCATTGAATTAAAACAATCTGAGATAGATAGATAAGCAACAATAAACAGATGAAAAAAATAGCCAAAATTAAATAGATAGAATCATTGAATTAAAAACAATCTGATAGATAGATAATAATTAAACAATAAACAGATGAAAGTTAAATAGATAAATAAATTCTTTGAATCATTGAATTAAAAACAATCTGGTATTGTGATAGATAGCAACAATAAATAGATGAGATTAAATTGCCAAAATTAAAACTTTAATCATTGAATTAAAGATAGATAGATAGAAGCAACAATAAACAGATGAAAGTTAAATAGCCAAAGATAAATAGATTCATTGAATTAAAAACAATCTGATAGATAGATAATAAGCAACAATAAAAGATGAAAGATAAATAGAAAGATTAAATTGAATTAAATCATTGGATAGAAAACAGATAGATTCAATAAACAGATGAAATTAAAAAGACTTTAATCGGATAAAAAGATAGATATTGTGATGAATAGATAGATTAAATAGAAAATTAAATACTTTAATCATTGAATTAAAAGATAATAAAACAATTGAAAGTTAAATAGATAGAATAGAATTTAAGATAGATTAAAACAATTGAATTAAAAAGCAACAATAAACAGATGAAAGATAAACTGAAAAAATTAAATTTACTTTAATCATTGAATTAAAAACAAGATTCATTTGAAATAAAAAGAATAAACAGATGAAAGATAAATAGCCAAAAATTAAATTAAACTTTAATCATAGAATTAAAAGATAGATTCATTGAATTAAAACAATAAACAGATGAAAGATTAATTAATTAAAAATTAGATACTTTAATCATAGAATTGAAAAAACAATCTGAGATGAGATAAGCAACAATAAAAGATCATTAAACTAAAAAAAGAAATTAGATTTTTTCATTGAATTAAAACAATCTGAGGATTGTGATAATAAGCAACAATAAACAGATGAAAGTTAAACTAGAAAAATTAAATTTACTTTAATCATTGAAAAAAACAATCTGAGTATTGATAGATATTAAGCAACGTTAAACAGATGAAGAATAATTTAGCCAAAACTTTAAATTTACTTTAATCATTGAATTAAAAACAATCTGAGTATTGTGATAATAAGCAACAATAAACAGATGAAAGTTAAACTAGAAAAAATTAAATTGACTTTAATCATTGAATTAAAAACAATCTAGATTGATAATAAGCAACAATAAACAGATGAATTAAACTAGCCAAAAATTAAATTTACTTTAATCATAAAATTAAAAAAATCTGAGAATGATAATATTGAACAATAAACAGATGAAATTAAACTTTAGATAAAAATTAAATTTAATTTAATCATTGAATTAAAAAAAAATCTCATTGTGATAATAAGCAACAATAAAACAGATGAAATTTAAACTAATAAAAATAAATTTAATTATAATCATTGATTTGATAGATAGATAAGCAACAATAAACAGATGAAAGTTAAATTTTTCAAAAATTAAATTTACTTTAATCATTGAATTAAAAACAATAAAGTATTGTGATAAAATGAAAAAAAGAAATTGATAGAAAATTAAATTTCAAAAATTAAATTTTATTTAGATCAAAGAAAAAAATTAAATTTTTAAAAAGATTGATAGAGCAAAATAAACAGATGAAAGTTTTAGCCAAAATTAAATTTACATCGTTCATTGAATTAAAAACAAACAATTTTAGATAAGAACCAAAAATAAACAGATGAATTTTAAATTCTTTAAAAATTAAATTTACTTTAATCATAGAAAAAAAAAAAAATTATTTTGATAATAAGCAACAATAAACAGATGAAAGTTAAACTACATAAAAATTAAATTTACTTTAATCATTGAATTAAAAAACAATCTGATAGATTGTGATAATAATAACAATAAAAAGAGATGAAAGTTAAATAAAAAAATTAAATTTACTTTAATCATTGAATTAAAAACAAGATGAGTATTGTGCAACAATGCAGATATATAAATATAAATAAAGATGAATGTGAATTAAAACAAAAAATTAAATAGATATATTCATTGAATTAAAAAAACTTTAATATAAATAATGTGATAATAAAAAAAACAATAAACAGATGAAATTTTAAATTGAATAAAAATTAAATAGAGCAAGATAAATCATTGAATCAAAAAAAACAATTGAGTATTGTGATATATATGCATAACAATATAAACAGATGAAAGTTAAATGCCAAAATTAAATTTATTTAATCATTGAATTAAAAACAATCTGAGTATTGTGATAATGGAAAAAACAATAAACAGATGAAAGTTAAACTATTCAAAAATAAAAAATGAACTTTAATCATTGAATTAAAAACAATTTGAGTATAGATATAATAAGCAACAATAAACAGATGAAATAAACTAAAAAAAATTAAAAAATAATCATTGAATTAAAACAAAATTGTGATAACCAACAATAAACAGATGAAATTAAATTGCCAAAATTAAATTTTTTTTAATCATTGAATTAAAAACAATTGAGTATTCTGATAATAAGCAATTAAACAGATGAAATTTAGCCAAAAAAATTTTACTTTTAATCATGAATTAAAAACAATATATTTATATGTGATAATAAGCAACAATAAACAGATGATCATTAAATTAAAAAAATTAAATTTAAATAATCATTGAATTAAAAACAATATATATATTGTGATAATGAATTAAAAATAAACAGATGAAAGTTAAACTAAAATTAAAATTAAATTTACTTTTAATCATTGAATTAAAAAAAACAATCTGAGTATTGTGATAATAAGCAACAATAAACAGATGAAAGTTAAACTAACCAAAAATTAAATTGACTTTAATCATTGAATTAAAAACAATCATTGAAGTGCATAGATAAGCAACAATAAACAGATGAAATAAAAAGCCAAAAATAAATTTACTTTAATCATTGAATTAAAAAAACAATTGAGTATTGTGATAATTGAAATAAACAGATGTGTTAAGATAGCCAAAAATTAAATTTACTTTAATCATTGAATTGTCAGAGATAGATGATAATTAATTAAAACAATAAACAGATGAAAGTTAAATAGCCAAAATTAAATTTAATTTAATCATTGAATTAAAAACAATATGATATTGTGAAATAAGCAAAATAGACAGATGAAAGTTAAACTAGCCAAAAATTAAATTTACTTTAATCATTGAATTAAAAACAATATATAGTATTCAGATTGAATAAAAAGCAACAATAAACAGATGTTTATTAAAATTAAATGTGATTAAATTTACTTTAATCATTGAATTAAAACAATCTGAGTATAGTGTGATAATCATTGAATTAAAAAGAAAAACAGATAGATAGATTCAATTGAATTAAAAAAAACAGATGAATTTACTAGCCAAAAATTAAATTCATTGAATTAAAAAAATGGATGATAGTATTGTGATAATATAAAACAATAAACAGATGAAAGTTAAATTAGCCAAAATTAAATTTACAGATAGATTTAATCATTGAATTAAAACAATCTGAGTATTGATAGATTCAATAAAAGTGAAAAATAAATAGATGAAAGTTAAAATGAATTAAAAAATTAAATTTAGATAATTAATCATTGAATTAAAAACAATCTGATATTAGATAGATAATTGAATAAAAAGATGAAAGTAATATAGCAACAAAAATTAAATATACTGGATAATCATTAGAATTGAAAAAACAATCTGATAGATTGTGATAATAAGCAACAATAAACAGATGAAAGTTAAACTAGCCAAAATTAAATTTATTTAATCATTGAATTAAAAACAATCTGAGTATTGATGATAATAAGCAACAATAAACAGATGAAAGTTAAATAGCCAAAAATTAAATTTACTTTAATCATTGAATTAAAACAATCTGATAGATAGATAATAAGCAACAATAAACAGATGAAAGATAAAGATAGCCAAAATTAAAAATTTACTTTAATCATTGAATTAAAACAATCTGAGACAGATAGATAATAAACAATGAATTAAACTAAAAATTAGATGATAATGATAGAATTAATTGAAATTAAAATATTAAATAGATAGCAATAATCATTGAATTAAAAAGCAATCAAAAGTAAATTAGATAGATATCATTGAATTAAAAAAACAATAAATAGATGAAAGAACAATAAACAGATAAAGTTAAAAGCCAAAATTAAATTACTTTAATCATTGAATTAAAACAATCTGAGTATTGTGATAATAAGCAAAATAAACAGATGAAAGTTAAACTAGCCAAAAAATTAAATTTACTTTAATCATTGAATTAAAAAACAATCTGATATTGATGATAATAAGCAACAATAAACAGATGAAAGTTAAATATAAAAAATTAAATTTACTTTAATCATTGAATTAAAACAATCTGAGTATTGTGATAATAAGCAACAATAAACAGATGAAAGTTAAACTAGCCAAAAAATTAAATTTACTATAATCATTGAATTAAAACAATCTGAGTATTGTTGATAATAAGCAACAATAAACAGATGAAAGTTAAATTGAATAAAAATTAAATTTACTTTAATCATTGAATTAAAAAACAATCTGAGTAGATGTGATAATAAGCAACAATAAACAGATGAAAGTTAAACTAGCCAAAAATTAAATTTACTTTAATCATTGAATTAAAAACAATCTGAGTATTGATGATAATGAATTAAAACAATAAACAGATGATAGTTAAACTAGCCAAAAATTAAATTTACTTTAATCATAGAATTAAAAACAATCTGAGTATTGTGATAGATAGAAAATAAATTGCCAAAAATTAAATTTACTTTAATCATAGAATAGAAAGATTCATTTGAAATTAAATAAACAGATAGATAGATTCAAAAATTAAAAACTTTAATCATAGAATTAAAAACAAGATATATGTGATAATAAGCAACAATAAACAGATGAAAGTTAAATAGCCAAAAAATTAAATTTACTTTAATCATTGAATTAAAAACAATCTGAGTATTGTGATAATAAGCAACAATAAACAGATGAAAGTTAAACTAGCCAAAATTAAATTTACTTTAATCATTGAATTAAAAACAATCTGAGTATAGATGCCGTGTGCAATTAAAATAAACAGATGAAAGTTAAACTAGCCAAAATTAAATTTATTTAATCATTGAATTAAAAACAATCTGAGTATTTGATAATATGCAACAATAAACAGATGTTTTAAACTAGCCAAAATTAAATTTATAGATAATCATTGAATTAAAAAAAACAATCTGTGTATTGTGATAATAAGCAACAATAAACAGATGAAATTTTAAAAAATTAAATTTAGATAATCATTGAATTAAAACAATGTGAGTATTGTGATAATAAGCAACAATAAACAGATGAAAGTTAAACCGCCAAAAATTAAATTTACTTTAATCATTGAATTAAAACAATCTGAGTATTGTGATAATAAGCAACAATAATAGATGAAAGTTAAATAGCCAAAAATTAAATTTAATTTAATCATAGAATTAAAACAATATATATTGTGATAATAAGCAAAATAAACAGATGAAAGTTAAACTAGCCAAAATTAAAAGATTTTAATCATAGAATTAAAAACAATCTGAGTATTGTGATAATAAGCAACAATAAACAGATGAAAGTTTAGATAAATAGATTTAATGAATTAAAAGGATTGAGTTAGAATCAATGATTAAAAAGCCAAAAATTAAATACTTGAATTAAAAACAATCTAGATAGATAGACAATAAACAGATGAAATTAAAGAGCCAAAATTAAATTTACTTTAATCATTGAATTAAAACGGAAATAGCTAGACAGATTTACTGATAGATAGATAGAGTGATAGAAAGACAGATAGACTGATCGTTAGTTTTCATGGAATAATAAGGGAGGGGATGTATTGAAGGGGAGGAAAGCCTGAAGTAGAGAGAGAGAAGGAACGGTCGTTATGAAAGAGAGAGTGTGTGTCGGCGGAATTGCCTGTTACCTTTGAAGAATGTTTTCGCATTCACTTTGAAATAATTGCCTTTATTCTGGTGTTTGACTCATGCAGGGACGAGATAGGTTCATGCCTTTCGCAATGGACGTGACCGGGATTTGAACCCAGTCTGCCGATTCCGTTTTCCATGTGACATCAACCTTTTTAATCTGCGTCTAAAATGCAAAAGACGGAATGAAATATTGAATTCTTGTTGGAAATCTCTTTTCCGCAGATTCACTACACCCCCAACCCCCGCCCGCCTGGATTTAAAAGAAAAATCTCAGTGGAATTTGCATAAATTTGCATAAATTATAAAAAAGTATGGATCAATAATTATCGATTGATTTGCTATTTTTATTGCCATTTCTAAATGAATTCATTTTTCTTTTCCCATCTTCTGTCAACCATTGATGGTCGGAGACAAAGTTGGCATAAAATTGAAAAAAAAAAATGTTGAATTGAAGAAAAAATTTCAAAAAATAAATTTTATTTGCAAAGAAAAAAATTTTTTTTTTTTTTTTAAATAATTTTGAAAATTTTTAATAAATTTTTTCCATCGTTTATAAAAGAAACAAACAATTTTCGGTTGGAAACAAAAATCTTCGGCCAATTTTCAGATTCTTTAGGGAATTTAAACAAAACTTTTTTCGGTAAAACAGAAAAAATTTCTTTTTTTGACACAAAATAAAAATTGCCAAAATTATTTGTACAAAAATCGAAAAATTCTTCATCGATTTCAAAGTTTTGAAGAATTTCGCCTTTTTTATTCCAAACAAAGATTTTCGATTCTGTTCGTCTTGACCCCCACAAATTCCCAGTCGTCGGATCGACACGAAGGCGGGGGTCATAAATACTCACCCCCAGCGACGATGACCTCCCGGGGTGGATTGTTTGGATTTCTTGTCCGTTTTCATTAAAACAAACAATTTTTTTAAAATCCTTTTCACAAGCAAAAATTTTTTTGTTCATTTGACAAAAAGAAAAAAATTTCTTTTTTTTTGTGTCAAATGATTTTTCAATTTCGAAAAATGGCGCCTGTTTTTTTAGCGCCAAAAAGAAAATTCTTCCCGACCCCCAAGTAATTAATTCTCCTTTGTCCTTCACAAACTCCAGGCCACAGACAAGCAAAATGTCTCCCGTCAGGCGACACATGTCCAAGGGGAAGAATTCCTTTCCCCCTCCCTTTAAGGGACATTGGCTGACCATTTCGCCAGAGTCACTGATGAATTCTAGGATCGATCCGCTTACAAAATCGCCAACAAAGACGCGATTGTCTTCGTCGCCGGCGACAATCGATGAAATAACGAGCGGGTTCGATCCTTGCAGACGGCATTCACTTTCCACCTGCAAATACCCGGATGTCTCTGCCGCCCACACGATTATTTCTTTCTTCAGTGACTCTAGGGAATCGTGACACCATTTCGGAAATGTCACCAGCCAACGTCCTTTCTCTTGAGGAGCAAACGATTGACGGAGCCGCGCAGAAAGCTCAGCTCTCACCAACTTTAGACCAGAGACGACGTCCTCATCGTCGGCGTCGCCCCTCGACAAATGTTTCAATGTGTGGTGCCAGATTTCGACCTTCTTTAAAACGTTTTCTTTCTCTTTGAGGGAGTGGCGCCATTTTGTCTGCAGTTCGTACGCCATCACTTTCATATTATCGCACAACTCTGCCAACTTGAGACGTGCTTCATCTACGAATGCCTCAAAATCCCGAGTGAGTTTTAAGCATTCCGATTCGCAATCCGTTGACAGTTTGTCAATGGACTGCTTCGTTCGCCTGCTCATCGCCCGGATGTTGATTTCGAACTGGCGGAGTTGCCGCTCCAGGGTGGGGCTGCGTATCTTCTCATTCGACGCTTCGTCTCTCACCGACAGCGGACGAGGCGGACACTGAGGGGAGGCGATCACGTGTTCCTTGTAACATTTTTTGCACCGGCACGTGTTGCACCGCTGACAGAAAGCGTCCTTGGATTGACTGTGCCGTCGACAGTCGTCCGTCGTGATGACCCTGACGGCCTCCCCCCTCGACATGCCTGACAAGTCTTTGGTCACGTGTCCGGAGTGGAAACTCTCGCAGGATTGGCACAAGAGTTTATCGCATTCCTGGCACCAAATCTGGACGGTCGATTCTCTCCCGTTCTCTTCAAAGCACCTGCCGCACCCCCATTCGCTGGATTCCAACTGACGGCGCCTCAAAGTCTTCTCCAGAAATGGTGACAGTCTCAAATCGTCACTGGTGACAGGTTCTTGGCACTGGGGACACGGGCCATTTTCTTCTAGAATCATCTCAATACACGACCGGCAGAAGGAATGAAGACATGGTAATGTCTTTGAGGATAAGTCCAACATTCGGTCGCATTTCGAGCATGGGAATGTCTCTACTTCACTCACACTGGACGCCATTTTGAAAATTTCTCCCAAAAATAAAAATCAATCTGTAAAGAAAGAAAAGAAAAAAAGGTCAAAGTTCAAAATCAGAAAAAGCCGAAAAAAAAGTCCATTTATAAAATCGAAAGTAAAATAACCCGAAATTTCGTGATTTTACAAGAAAAACACATCGACATCCGGAAAGGAAATTTTCTTCTAAAATCCCAAATGAATGAAGTGGGTGGGGGGGAGAAGATTTGGGGGGGGACAAATAAAATAATTAGAGAGTGGGGAACAGAGAGAGTAGTTATCAATAAAGCTGTCATGCGAGTTTAAGGCATTTCATTGGACGAGAATAGTCACACCTCTGGACTGGAGGGGGTTACATGAGATAACAAGGGAGGGAAAAGCACGGATTGAATAACTGAAGGGGAGGAAAGCAAACGGACTGTGACATCATAGGTGTTTATGGCATTTCATTGGACGAGAATAGTCACACCACTCAAGTGGGGGGGGGCGTTACATAAGATGACAAGGGTAGAGTAAGTGAAGGGGAGGGAAGAGGAAGTAAAAGAAAGAAGAAAGGGGGAAAATCGCTGATATCACTCACACACGCAAAGACATGTACGAATAGACACGTACTGGCACGGACGCGAAACATTTTAGACACACACTCACAAAAAAACATATATATATATATATATATATATATATATATATATATATATATATATATATATATATAAGGAAAAAAATAATCTTCCATGGTTATAATTTATTACATTGGAATTGTAATCACGATTCAATTCATCAGATTACAAATTAAAAAAAGCTTTTTAAATGATTTAGATAGATTGATAGATATATATGAAAAAAAAAGATAGATAGATAGATAGATAGATAGATACGAACAGGACGAGATAGCTATATAGATAGTAACAGAATGAGATAGATAGATAGATAGATAGATAGATAGATAGATAGATAGATAGATTCATTGAATTAAAAGACTCAGATAGATAGATAGATAGATAGATAGATAGATAGATAGATTCATTGAATTAAAAGACTAGGATAGATAGATAGATAGATAGATAGATAGATAGATAGATAGATAGATATGAAAAGGATCGATAGATATGTGGACTCGTCCAATATCCTTACCTTCCCAACCTAACGAAAGCAGAGTCCACAGCGTACGCCTACGTACCTAAAAAGCTTCGACCAATGGAAACGGCAAGAAACGAAGCAAACAACCTCATTGGTCAATCACTTGAAGTTCACGTGCAAAAACTGAAATTGCGCCAAATTCAAGTGAGCCACCCGGTGGATATATAAACAGAGAACGTTTAAACCTTTGGAGAGGAGAGAATAGCAGCAGTAATTACCAAGTTTCAAGATGTAACATTTCACCGTCTCTCGTCTTCGTCATTGCTGACCAGACGTTAAAGACAATTACCAACTCCACGCCAGTCAGTCTCGCGAATTCGCAGAGTAATTTCCAATATACTTCACGCCGCTACAAACCACAATTATGCCGCGCACGAAGACACTTCGCTGACTCATATTCGATCATTCATCAATCAAATCTGTGAACATTTTTCTCAACTTTACTTATGTACAGTGAATTAAATTCACTACTAAAAAATAAATAAACATCAAATACGTTTAAGGGTAAACCACTGTCAGAAACTCTTTTCAAAAACTCTAATTACACAAAAAGACAACGAACTAACGAACAATATCAACAAAGAGACATTCACGAATCAAACAATTACACACACATTTTGTAAAAAAAGACACACACTGATTACCCAATCTGTATATTGATAAATTGTATAAATGTTGCATTGTTTTCTAAATTGCATGTTTCGTTTTTAATTGCATTTGAAAATTCATTTATTCATTTGTTCGGGATGCAGTGACACAAGCAACCAACTAAAAATGTCCTTCTGATTCTTTCTTAAATAATTAACATTCCTGCACGTCCCCTACAGATAGATATGAAAAGGATAGATAGAAACAGATTGCAACAGACAGACGAACATGCATAAAACAATGTGGAAGTTTGTTGCCTGGCAACGAAATACACATGCCCCCCCCCCGGCCCCCGGCCCCCGTGTCACCCTAACATGCACATTATAAGTCAGGGTGGGTCACTTCAATAAATCGTCAAAAATAAACAGCATAACACGATGTAAAAATGCCGCTAAACTTAATGAAAACACAATTTGATGTGAAACAATTCATTTTACTAAGAAGAGGAAAGACGGAATTATTTTTCATTATTTATTCCGTTCCGATTTCATTTCAATTGAAATTATTTTTTTTTTTTTTTTTCCTCAAAAGACAAGAGAGCATAAAAAAAAATGACGTCTTCTTCTTCGTGTCGCTTTTCGCCATTGGAAACCAGCGGGAAGGTGCTGTGACGTCATAGGATTTTAAGGCATTTCATTGGACGAGAATAGTTACCCCGACCCGGACTAAAGGGCGTTTCATTAGATAATAAGGGAGGGACGAAGAGAGAGAGAAATGAGAGAAAGAGAAGAAAGCGTGAGAAAATGTGAGAAGAAAAAGGAAAGAGTATATGAAAGAGGGGGGGGGTCCTTTCTTTTAAATCAAATAATTTAGATTTGAATGGAATGAAACTTTATTTTTACATGAGATAAAAAGGGAGGGAAAAGTATTCAGAGAAAACAAAGAAAGTAAGGAAAGGAAGAAAAAGTCGCTGACGACACACACACACACACACACACACATGCGCACATAGACATGTACTGATAGACACACATACATTTACTCACACACACATATTAGACCCGGATGTCATCGGCAAGTGTCAGTGATATAATTTAGATAAATAATGATATAGTGGCAGGGATATATAGATACATACATACAAAATGAAAAGTCAGAAAGAAAATAGATATATAATGAACAGACAGGCTATGGATAGTCATTATATATAGATAGATAGATAGATAGATAGATAGATATACATACATGTATATGTACATGTTTATATATATATATATATATATATATATATATATATATATATATATATATATATATATACAGGCACAAAAACCCACACACACACATGCACATATAGATAAATATAGATAGATAGATCTGAAAAGAGCTGAGATAGATAAATACATATGAAATGGACTGATAGATAGATAGATAGATAGATAGATAGATAGATAGATATTAAGGAGATGATAAATAATCATGATTTTGAATCCACTTGCAATTTGCAGCAAAACCAATAAATAATAATTTAGAGCGCCAAATATGATTTTTTTTTCATGCTCAGCAAACACTAGCATCGGAAAAAGAATCAATTGCATTAATTTGGGTGAAATGGTTTCAAAATTAAAGAGGAAGCAAATGTCTCTTACTATTCATGGAAACATTTAAGAAATTTGGAGAATTTAGAAATCGATAAAATTCTGACTTACATTTGATGTCGAATTCACTTGTTGATTGGAATTGGTTTTTTGTCAAAAAAAGTCGTGGGACCCAAACAATCAGCAAATGTCGTCTTCTTTGTTGAATTTGTCTGAAATAAACTGACGATGGCGACGCCCTTCCCGCGTTTAAATACTAACAACCAGAAAGACTTCATAGAAATAGAAAAGATTTCATTGGACGAGAAGAAACACGCCCACTGGATATGAAATAACAAAGCGATTTAGGTTTAAACATGGATCAAGTGACACCAAGTCTCTTTAACATTCCTCAATCCTCCTCTTTTATAAATGGCAAACGTATTGTTTCCTTCTTTTTTTTTTAATTAGTTATTAATATAAAATTAAAAAGTAGAATAAAATAAAATTATTTTATTAGTTGTTGGTATAAAAAAAAAAAAAAATATTCTAAAATAAAAACGATTTTTTATTATTAAAACTGAATAAAAAGTAATCAAAAGAAAAATTTTTTTTATGAGTTGAATAAAATGAAAAAAGTTGTCCTGTTATTAGTAGAATAGAATAAATATGTAGTCTAAAATAAAAAAAAGTTGTTTTTATTAGTATAATTGACTAAAAAATACACTAAAATAAAAAGGGGTTTTCTATTAGTGGAATAGAATAAAAATGGTCTAAAATAAAAAGAATAATTTATTCGTAGGATAGAATAAAAATATTTTTTTATTAGTATCAGGTCATCCCATAAGTTCTGTCCGAATTTTGAATAAAGAAAACAAGTGACCAAATGTTACATTTAATTACAGATTCAATCAACAATGTATTTTCCCTGATTATCTATGACTTCCATCCATTTATTAACAAGCTTACTAATTCCATTACTGTAAAATTCTTTTGGCTTTGATTTGAAGAACTCACAAATGTCAGTTTTAACCTCTTCCTGTGTTACAAAAGCTGTTTCTTCCAAATGATTCTGTAAGCTACGAAACAAATGGTAGTCTGAAGGAGCAAGATCGGGAGAATAAGGTGGATGAGGAATTTTCTCCCAATCAAGTTCTTCGATTCTTTTGTGACGTGATTCTTGCTGTGTGGGGTCGCGCATTGTCCTGATGAAACATCACCCCTTTTCGATTCACTAGAGCAGGTCTTTTTTCCTCAAAGCTTGGTTCAAACGCTCTAATTGCTGACAGTATATTTGAGCATTAATTGTTGCATTAGGTGGTAAGAATTCAAAGTGGATTATTCCTTGGCGCTCCCACCAGATTGAAAGAAGAATATTTTGCCCATGAAGTTCCCTTCTCGGCTGTGGCTGGGGTCCTTCCCCTTTACCAAGCCACTGTCTACGACGCTTAACATTTCGATAAAAGATCCATTTTTCGTCGCCAGTCACAAGTCTATCCAAAAAAGGTGAAACAAGTTGACGAGAATGGAGAGAAGAGCAGATGTCAACTCGGGATTTGAGGTTGTTTTCAGACAATTCATGAGGCACCCATTTTCCAAGTTTAGGAACTTTTCCAAGTTGTTGAAGATGACGATGAATAGTTGTAT